TCTTTCAAGACAGAGTACTTAAAATGCATGTTTATTACCGTAAAGGAAGGAGAGATTAAAAAAAAAAAAGTCCATTCTTATCAGCATGATTTGGAATTCTAAGAGGAAGAAAATGTTAAATTCTAAATAATGTCCATAATGTTAAACAAATTTTATAATTTTGAACTCTGAGTGTGTCTCATTTACTACATTAGATGTTTCATTTAATTCTGGCTTCCAAAATATGATTCATATTTCTAGAATTCGTCTCATGTTTTGGCTGTAATAGCTCACACAAGAACATCAAGTTCATATTTGAATATGTATTTTTTTTCTGAAGATTTCTTCCATTTTTATAACACTGCATCTGAATTTAACTGCATAAAATAATTATGGGGTATTGGGGCTTTGCATTTTGCTGTTGTTTGGTTGGATGGTTGGCTTGGTTTGGTTTTGGTTTTGTTTTGTGATTTTTTGTTCTTGTTTGTTGGTTGGTTTGTTTGGTGGATGTGGAGGTAGGGGAAGAAGGGAGGCTAGATTTATGGCTTTCTTTCCAGAATTCTCACTCCTATTTTTCCAGATTTTGTTTCTACTGTTACACAAGCTAATCTGGGGCTCAGCATATTTAAGTGTCCTCAAGAAACAAACAATTCAGGTCATGCCACAGCAAAACAACGGTTTTGCTAGGGGAACCAGAAGTTCCCCTTCTGTGTTTTTGTCTGTTACTTAAAAAGATAAAGATGCTACCACAATATTGATAGCTAGGTAGTAAATATATATATAGCATACCCACTAAGACGAAGAATTTGAACAATAACGAATTAAGCAATATCCAAACTGAGTGAGTCAGGTTGTTCTAACCATCTTTCTTCTGTAATACCATAGCATTATTAGACTTAGGATATCTGTTTTGCCCAATCATCTCACTCTTCTGTATTTATACTTTTTTCAGTTAAATAAGTCCTTAAGTAGTTTGGGATTTTTGAAAATTCAACTCTTTTTTTTTTTTTTTTTTTTTAATAACTTAAATATATATAAAAAAAGCCATCCTACACATTGCTCAAAGCATGAGTTCTGGGCTGGAGGGGCAGCAGGCTTTAGTATTTCTGTGTGGTACAATGCAGAATTTATCACAATATAGGAGCACTGACTTGCACTTTCAAAATTTCCAATTTCCTTTAACTTTAACAGTGTCTTCTCTCAGCATTGTGGTGATGCATTAGTGGGAATGAGAGATGCTGAGTTGGGCAGTCAAGATCCCCCCAAACCCTAAAGTGTTGTACAATGACTTAAACATGGCACAACAGCACTACATTGTGCATAGTACCCATATATTGTGTAAAAAGGAAAAGCTAAACCTCTTCTATTTTATTGTCTCAAAGGATCCTATCCAGGAGATGTATACTCAAAGGGAAAATATGGCCTTCTAAACAATATCTGCAACCCATATTACCACTGTATTCATCCTTAGGGGTCTAGAAATCCCAATAAGAATACCAGCAGTACCTTTATACAGATGAATCCAAAAAAGGAATAATAAAAAGGTTGGAAAGTCCTGTGTCCAGCTGTCTGTTATTTTGCCATAGTGCTACTTGAACACAGAGAAAAAGTTGTGGTACTTCTTTGCAGAGCAGCTCTGCAGTCCTCCAAAAGAGAGAACAGCATTTCTTATGTATTTTGGAGATACAAATAAATATTACTATGTGCAGAGTCCAAAGGCTTATTCTTAAGTCAGATGCAATAAGAAAAGATAGAAATGAAGCTATTTGTCTCTCTCAGCCAGTTATAATTATTTAGAGATCACTGTGTCTCGGCTACTGCAATTAAAGTCTTCCTTTTCTGCCTGGGATGCCTGCTTTCTGGTTATTACTTAAGACTAGAAGTTTCAGTATCTCAGTTATAGCCAACAGACAACCAGACTTCGATCTATAAAGTATTATCTCCACAAAGATGGGGAAATATTGTAATTGTGGTACTTGCTAATATTTAGTTTAAAAACTTGAATAATGGAGTGCCATCTGTTATTAGACACAGATCTTTTCAAAGGTGATCATAGATTAATTAATAAATATAATTAAACAATAAGTATAATAAACATGATACATTTAATATATACTTATCATATATTCATTTATATATAATTAAAGATTATATTATATCCTGTAGTAAAAGAAGCAGGTATAGTTTATATTCTATTACCTTGACAAAAAAAATCATAACTATATATGTATTTCTAGAAGCCAGACACCTTGTGCCAGTGAAGAACAGTCTGGTAAAGCAAGTGGTTTCTAATAATTTAAATTTCCCCTCATCTATGAAGATGCGTTGTCAAAATACTGGTTTCTTAAACATGTGCAAACACTGTTAACAATTTGTTCTCCATTTTTCTCTCAGATAAATTACCAGGACCTCAAGCTGAAATTTTTCTGGCTAATATTGTACAGTGATCATCTACATAGATTTTCTATCTGCTGTTGTTAATGACACAATATAGACTGAAAAGAAATCTACTAAATATACCTAAATTATAGAACTAACATTTATGATAGTAATAATAATAGCTTGGTACATTCAGGTGCAATTTTTCCAAAGGAAAGATACATATATAGGGGCTTCAGTAACTCATTATGATGTCTGACCAATGCAGTGTGTATTTCCCTGTCACAGGATGTGATAATAGCAATAGAATTACCAAGTCCTGTCATTTTTGTCATGTTTGTATGTGTACTTCTATGTACAAACTCACAAATGAAAAGGGTTTGAAACAAACCTACATAAATAAATATATGTTTCATAAAGAATCACAGAGCCATAGAGTCATAGAATCATAGAACGGTTCGGGTTGGAAGAGACCTTAAATATGATGTAGTTCCAACCCCCGTGACATAGGCAGGGATGCCACCCTGGCATCAGGCTGCTCAAGGCCTCATCTAACCTGGTCTTGAACACCTCCAGGGATGAGGCATCCACAACATCTCTGGGCAACCTGTTCCAGTGCCTCACCACTCTCTGAGTGAGAATTTCCTCCTGAAAAAGATAAACTTCTGTGCTAGATACAAATACTGCCAACCCCAAAATGATATTTGGTAATAAATATAAATAAATAAATATATATATATATATATATATATATATATATATATATATATATATATAAATGAATAAACATGCTTTTTTCCATATACTTATTTACTTTAATGTTCATTTTTGATGTTGTTTTTATTTATATTTATATATATACATATCCTTATAAAATATTAATTCATAAAAGAAAATATTGCAAACTTCTCCTTCCTTTAGATGGATATGTAAAAGCTGGACAATTAAATATCTCTAGCAACGCCTGTATCCTTCAATAAATTTTGTTTAAAAAAAAGATAAAAAACTTTAAATAGAGTGTTTCAATAAACTGTTTTGGTGGCAGCTATCATGAAGATCCTTGGGCATACACTTTTATTTATCAAAAAACAAACAAATAAACAAAAACAAAAAAAATGTTTTGTTGAAGCTTATATACATATACATAAAAAACCTGTCGCGTCTTTTTTTTTCTCCCTTTTTTTTTTCCTTCTTTTGGGTGTGTTTCTGAGTACCATGACTGCAAGTATAAATACAAAAAAAAATACTTTTATCTTCCTTGCTTTATGTATAAATATTCCTCTAACTTTGAAAAAAAAAAAAAAAAGTTATTTTGTATTTGAACAAGAGTCAAATTCAGGGACAAAAACAATCTCATTGTTGTGATGAGATAGAACATTGCTTAATAATTCAACAAAAGAAGATTCTTCTGTTCCAAAACAGTACATAACAAGAACATAGATCAGCTTTGCTATCAAGAAATGATTTAAAATCTGTGTAAATCAAAAATGCACAAATAAATTGCTTCCTAAAATGCTGGAAATATAAGCATACAGGTGACAAAAAGTAGCTCTAAACTCTGCTATGATGAGCAAAATTTTAGCTTAGTTTTCTATGGAAAAGAAATAAAGAAATAAAGCGTCATTAAATAAAGCTTCATTTGGAGAAGCCCTGCTTTTATATGCTTGTTTATTCAAAAGATGGAATCACAGAGAAAGCAGAAAAAATTTTTCATCTCCTGTCATGTGGTATACCACATTGATACCACTGCTGTTCCAGCTACAAGTGCAGAGCACAGCACTGTATGGGCTGCTGCAGGGAAAGTTAACTCCATCCCAGCCACACCCAGTACATCATGGATCTAAGGATATTCTCTTATTCCCGATAATGCTGAGAGAAGGAAAAAGACAGTTTAAAAGGCAGAAATTAATTAAATGTTTGAAAGACAGAAGTGTTAATTCATTTTAACAGTATAATTCATGTTTATAATGCTCCTTATATTTAGGAAGATAATTCTATATCACTCCTTGAAACCCCTTGACCCCTTGACTCCTATAACATAAATTTCATCAGTGTATAAAGCCTCTTTTTTTTCTGTATTAAAAAAAAATAAATAAATTCTGCCCTAAAACAAACAAACATGCCTACAAAAATTACAAATACAATTAAATAGTAACATCCTTCTTGCTATTAGCAACCATTTTGAAACAGATAAATACTCATTCTTGATTAATTTTCTTCTTTTTTATGAGGAATTCAGGATATCTCAATGATAAATAGACACAATTCCCCAACAGTTGTTAAATATTGAACAAAGAGCATATATGATATGATAAATTGAAGGGAAACCAGCACTAACTTCATTACAAAAGTCCAGTAATTTTTGGTTAATGTGAAAACAGCCGAGAAGAAAGCTTGGTGTGACGTAGCTTGGTCCCCAGAAAATACTAAACAACATTCAAAATGATATAATGCAGTCAAACTATTCACCAGCAAGAATGTTCTTTTTATAAATAAATAAATAAATAACAGTTCGAGGATTTATGATTGATCAGTAGATCTAATAAACATTCAAATATCTCTATCTGACTGGTTATTTAATGAAAATATCATCTAAGTACTTCAATATATGTATTTATGGTGATGAAAAAAGTAACACTTACCTAAAACCCCCAGCCTGTAATTGAGGGTGACAACAATGACATTTCCATAACTTGCAAGAATGCTCCCATCAATCATGTTGCCAGTACCCTCCATGTAAGATCCACCATGGATATAGACCATAACTGGTTTCTTGCTGTTCTGATCATGAATGTCTGAAAAAATTCAAGTAAGGAAAACATAATAAAGTAATAAAAAATAATGAAATATAGGATTAAGTTTATAAAACTGCTAAAACTATTCTTAGCTGTTTCTCATGTTTTCCATGTCATCATCACCACTTAAAACAGCAAGCTTACACAGTTCCTATAAGCCTAATATAGAAATATTTTGAATATTTCTCTTTGTTACTTCAAATACTATTTTCTATTAAATATTTTCAGGATGCCCTTAGAAGTCTTTAATATTACAATAAATTAATTCAGATGTAAACACTTAAATGCCTAAATAGAAAAAAAAAAAAAAAAAAAAAAAAAAAAAAGTGGAATAATCTTGTATTTTTTAAAGTATTCGAAGTCAAATATGTTCTAATTTAGAAATATTAATACATAAATAATAACAAAATTACAATAATGATCCATACTTTCCTATTCCTCATTGAGATACATTTGTTGAAATTATATTTCCAATAGTTCAGTATCAGATAATATCAAAAAATCAAATTGTTCTTATGAAACATAGCGAACTGTTCATTCATTTTAGATAGCCCAAGAGTTAAAAAACACAGAGAATTTAACTGAGCTTACAGCCCAGATTTTGTTTGTTTGTTTGTTTTTGTATGTAAATCAATCAGTCTTCTATGTCATGGTTTACCACATTGTGGTAGCTAAGCATTAAAGAAAATCATTAAATTTATGAGCCTGAATTATATAGCTAATCTTTTGTACACACAGAAAACCTATTTACTACTTTGATACAGATAAACAGATGGATTTCTCTAAAATAAGTTAAATGAAATTGATAGCAATATTTTTATACTTCAGAGTGAGTCATAAAGATGCACTAACCAATGATTTGGAGTATATTTAGGACTATATTTATATCTCTTCCTCTATTAATAAAAAATGTGGGCTCCTGATTCCGGAGATCAGACTAACTAAATTAGGAACTTATGCTCTACAGAGACAGTGGAAATAGGGTCTAAGGTTAAAAAACAGAAGGCTTTTCATCAAGCAGCTGTTAGGATTAACTATATGTGGAACTAATTTGAACATACTTAAAGGTAAATTATGGCTGGTCATATTTATACAGCCAATTATTAATTTCCTCATGTGCACGCACAATCCTAGATGTAAAAAACATCAGTTGAGTGCAAAGAAAATATGATTGGTTTCCAATGTACATCTACCTAGACATAAGAATCTAAGGCTTGTTATAGACTCCAACTTGTCATAAAAAGATACATACTCTACGTGTCGTATTTTATATATTGTACTTGAGCAGAAGAACAAAAAGCTTTGTAATTATTTTAACTACAAGAGTAATGTTACTATAAACAGGTCATGTAAAGCAATGAAGTACGTTTTAATACATGTATTTTTTTATTTGTAAATTCACAGAAAAGTACATGAAAAAGTGTCTCGTGCAAATTTTAAGCTAAACTCTCAGTAAATGAAAGCGATAATTATTTAAAACAATTATTTGTGGTACAGAGTAACCTTCACTTTCTCTCCCCAAAGTCTCATGGCATGAGTTGTTGTATTTAGTATTTTCTTATTACATAGTTCTTACTCATAGTTTAATCTTTCACTACTGAATTCAATGGGAGATTTCCTCTTCTCCTTCAATGTGAACATGATTGGCTTCAACATAAGGGAAATAAGGTTTATGTTTAGATCTAAACTGGATGTCCTTGTTGATCAAAAAATTATAACTGTTTATAAAGTTTGAAAAAATCTGAAAAATGTGTTCATCATTAAACATCTAATGGTTTTAGAGCAATTTTATTTTCACTTGCTATTTATCTTTAGCTTAAAAATTAGCTGCACAAATTGTTATAGCAAGTAATGATACTGTCATTTATAAAAAAGCATATGTTGAAGAGAAATAGGAAGAAAGTCAGAGAATAATTGAGTAACTTTGCTCTGTTCTGCAGAGCATTTTAATACTATAAGAAATAGTGCAATTCAGCAATGAAGATTGTACAGTCGAGGGCAACAAGTGTGAATTAAAGACCAGAGATTTTTATTATGGTATTTTATATATGGGTAAAATAGCTAAAATTGAGATGATCTGCCAAGGAAAAAAAGGAGATTAAAAAACAACCTCAACACAATATGTGTGGTTCTAAGGGGAACCAAGAGGATAAACGTTCCAAATGTACTTGAACTGATGTCAGATTGAAGAAAAATATAAAGGCACTTTAGAAAGGCCAAGCAGGAGAGGAATAAGAGATGGATTGCTCCAAATCCAGAACAATAAACTTTCCAAGGCTCCCATTTGTTCATTTAATTTGAAAATGTTTGTTCTTAATTTGGTAAGTACAAAGAGATTATAAAATGACAGTAACTTTAATGAAAAGGAAGGGTGAGAATAGAGGAAGATTTCATGACTTCTTTCTATTTTAGCATATCCTGCCTTTGCTGTGCCAAAGCAAGAAAAAAATATTTCCTTGTAAAACTTTTTGGGGGGTACTTCACTGTAAACTATAACATTTCCTTTCAGGAAATCCAATCTAAGACTGAAAGACGTCAATGAAAAAGATTGTAATTGATTTCAGTGGGAATCTGCTCATAGTCATAATGAATGTATCTCAGAGGCTAGCTGATTACAAGCAGGGAAAAAATAATAAAATAAAATAAAATAAAATAAAATAAAATAAAATAAAATAAAATAAAATAAAATAAAATAAAATAAAAATATATCAAAGATAAACCATGATGCAACAGCATCCAGTACAGTATGTGCATGGGAGAAATTATGGAAATGAAAGAAAGAATACATGTGAGGTCTTTTCATGATTTTCAAGTACATGAATTTACAAAATGTATAAGAGAGAAAAGAGCACATGCCTGTTTTCAAATTCCATTTTCTCACCTAAGAAAGAATGGTGGAGGGGGACAATGACAGTACATATTTTTAAATAATATTTATTACTCACTTCACACATATTTAGGTATAACCGTTACAGGGGAGTTACATTCATATGTTAAATTGGATTTTAAAAAGAAAAACAAAGCAATTTTTAAAGAAGAAAATAAAGAACACTGAAGTGTGCTTCTGCAAATAAGTGACTAAAAATCATGTTGAAATAACAATAACAATAATAATTAATATTATTAAAATAAAAATATATTTTTTTAAAAAGTTTATGTTCATGCATCAGGGTTGAGTTTTGAAAAAAAAAAAATACCTTCATCTTCACCACGATCATTACTGGTTATATCATCTGCGCTTTTCTTTGTGTTGGCTCCTGGGTTCATATTGAGGAGAAGAATAAAGGGAAAAAAGAGAATTCAAAAACAGCAGGTTCTCAAAAATAAAAATAATTAGAAAAACATTAGTTAAAAAAAAAATGTAACAAAAATGTCAAAACCTGTTACATTTGAAGTTGAAAAACAAAAAGGATGCAAACTGCACATAAACATAAAATGTCAAGAAGAACAAATTGAAAATATTTGAAAAAATTTATTATATTCAGTGACAATGCAGTTACTTCAGTTAAAAGTGCTGAAAAAAAAAAAAAAAAACAAACACAAAATTAATGTGCTATTAAAAAAAGAATAATATAAAGAAAAAAAAATCAGTAAGTATGGTTTCTACATAAGAAATGCAATTGATTTCTGTCACTTCGAAGAAATAATGGCTTCAGTCACTGTCCTCAATAACATGTCTTCATGTTATTCATCCTCATGAAGATTCATTAACAATTAGCCACAACCTTAAACGGATGCAATTCAAGTAAAATTGGCATTGAGTCTTACACAACTTGAATGGTCTAAGACAAACCATATAGAACTCCTTAAATTTTATTTTTTCTTCCCAAATAAACAAAAAAATATGCAAAAAAGGAAACTGAAAACATAGGAAAAACACAGAGTTGAGTCAATCCCTGACACAAAATTTGTCAAAAAGTAGCCCTAGTTTGTATTATACCACGTACCATACTCTTTAGATTAAATGAAAAAATAACTGAAAATAGTTACTTACCATGGAAAAGAACTTGCATTTATTCATTTAAAAATTTGGTAAAGAATAAATTTTATTTTTTATTTAATGTTTTAATGTTCTTTTACAACAAACTTTTGAGGCATATACATGCATATGAGCATATACCGCGCCCCTCCCCCCCCCCCCCCCCATGTCCACACATGCCTGCATTTATGGGAGGAAGATGAAATAAGCATGATAGTTTTCCCCACACCTCTCCTTGAGCAATATATCTGTTTTCTGACTTTAAAAAATGACACTAAACTACCTTTGTCACACTATGTTGTGCTCACTCCTGTAGCAAGTAGCCTTCTGCAATGTAAAAGGTTATATGAACAGTGAAATATGAACAAGCACAATTTGTACATTAGTTTAGAAATGAAATATGGCTACTAAATAAAGTTATGTCACCAATTTAACCATATATTTTTTGATTTGTCTTTATTAGGAATTGTGTTTTCAAGATGGACTGAAATATACTTGAAATATACAATATTCAAAATATACAATATATAAAAGTCACTTGACTTTGAGTTTGCATATGAAGTGTGAATATGTCACAGATATATAAATGCTATTAAACTGTATTTTAAATAACTAAACTATTAAAAACTATTAAATAAACTATTATAAACAGTAAATAAACTATTTAAACTCTGCATTTATAATATTAAATGTTAATAAAATTATTTAAATGCTGTTTTATAATTCTGTATAATGGTTGGTCATTTGACACTGTACCTTTCCTGTGTAAGGCAAAGGGTATATTTTGCTGATTTGAATGAACTCAGGATAAACTCAGGACTTTTTTCTATTTCTTTTAGAAAAACTTACATTTTATTGCTGAATATCTTCAGATATTCCAGTATTAAGTTTTAAAGAATTTTTAAGAATTAAGTTTTATTAACATAGATATTATTTATTTTTCTTTTTTCCATAAAGTTAATAACATTGAAAAAAAAATTAGTGTCCTTTAGTCTTACAAGCAGTCTAATCAACTTACTTGGAGTGGTGGGAAGTGGACTTTATTTTTAAGTTAAGTTAATAATTTTATGACTTGCTTTTACTCTTCTAGCCCTTATAGCCCTCCAAATTAAAGGTTCCAAGTAAATCTCAATACATAATTGTAAATAAGAAAGAATGTGCTTAATGGTTGTTAAAGTACTTAAGACATATTAGTATATATAAGTTTGGTTTATGTTTTGTTCACTGGTTTGCTTGTGTCTTCTTGATACAGCCAGCATAAAGATTTTCTATAGAAATAATCTGGAACCACTGCTGATATATATGCTAACTGAAAATTGAAATAAAGCAATTGAAGTTACAGTAAAAAATGTTTTTATTTTGTTGATTGAAGTAAAGGATTAGGAAAGAGAGTGCTAATCAGTTGAATGTGAGAAGCAGGAGATGAAACTCTTGTACACACAAAACCTCCTGTACACACAAAAACAGTTCAGTTGCACACAAGTTATTCTGTATGTAGTACATGAGTACGTTCAATTATATCTACTAAGTATATAATTAACAGGGTGAAATATCACTGTCAGTGAAATATATTTGTTCTCCAATCTATCACTTTATTTGAGAAATGTCAGATAGAGGTTCTAAATCTCAGTCACTATTCAAGTTCTGCATTACTTTATTCTTTTTTTTTTTTTTTTTTTGCTTTTCCTAGTTACTTATAGCCCAAAGGTTGAATCCTTCCTCAAGTGCTACCCAAGCTCTCTGGCTCATATTTCCTTTGAATATGATTAAAAATCTCATTCAGAAGTAGATTTTCTGAAGTTGCAGGTTTTCTTAGACGTATTTATTATTCATGTTAAATCTACTTCCAATAAGATAATATATATCATATATATGGAATGCAGTCAGGTCCTATGCATGGTATGTATGCAGTTTACCAGTGCATTTTAGCCATCCATACTGAAGATTCTAATGACAGCAAAAAATCATCAACTACTGTTTCAGCTGAAGCCAAGCCTTTTTTTTTTTTTTTTTTTTTTTTCCATTTTATATGTTCCATCTGTCACATGGTAGACCTTTGTCCCATGTAATTATGCAATTTTGGGAAAGCACTCAGTTTTTCATAAATCATACAACACATTATAACACGACCTCCCAGTTTCACACAGAACATGTTCAATCTTCTGGAAAGGTCCAGCTCATACTCGATTAATACAGGATTTAATAGTCATTCTTTCTGTGATATGTGATATTTCTTATTTCTGCAGACCTTTCAATAGATCTCTAAAGCTCTTGGTTTATTATCCCATGAGAGTTATTATAGTTTTACAATCAGCTCAAGTCAACAGTTCATTACTGTCTCAAGGGAGCAATAGGAAAGCAGAATTATATTTTCTGCATTTCTCCTAAGACTGGTGGGTTAGCTTTATCTTGATTCTCACTTAGCATACAATTGTTAAATCCCTGGTTTACAACTATGGCCAAGACTCTCTAGGTACCTTTGTAGATGTACCAAGAAGCTCTCATTTGGCTGTTGAAGAGAGATCAAACGAGGCATGTAGGCATTTCAAATAAAGGTGGAAGAAAAAGATAATTAAAAGACTATTGAAAAGATTATTGAAGAAAAAGACTATTGTCTTAGAACCTGTCTGTGGATCAACTACACTAGAAGACATATTAAAGAAAAGCAATCACCTCCTTATGTATCTGTATAAAAGCCTGCTGAATTTATTTGGAGAGAAATATATGCACACTGGCTACACTGAAATATCCTTTAATTCTTACTTACTATATACTGCCAATGTGTGTTTGTGTTTATGGTTGGGTGTATATATGTGCAAAAATATATACATATATGTACATGAAAATGCTCTTCATGGTTAATAGACATCCAGAAAAAAAAAAGCACGGGTTTATTTTCTGGAACCCTCTTCTCATAATGGTGCTAAAATGAAATTAAAATCTGACAGTTTTACATGTAAAAAATGTAAGTGTTTGCATTCATTGTCCACATGAATAACTTGGTAATTTCCTTTTATTTTCTGAGGTCAAAAGGTAAAAGAAGACAAACGTATTTTGGAATTCTCATTTTCAGAAATGAGACAGAAAAGCAGAAAATATATATTAACAATAGTTTCTTTTACTGTTCTGGACAACTTTTTCTTTAGAAAATTTATCTGGTTAATGACATAATAATTGAAGTAAGATTTTATTTTTTTGATATACTTATTTTAGTGAAAAAACAATAGGGTTTTTATAATTGATTGTCAGCACATTTTTTCTTGATGTAAACATTTGCAAACCTGCAGAAAACATTGCAGGCAACTCTTCTACACATGCAATTAGCCTCCATTTTAAAATACAATGCATCTTTAAAATAGGAGAGTTTCTGCTTTAGTTTATACAAATGTATGAAACAGTATGCTATGTGAAGATTACTTGTATATCTCTAAGAAAGGTTATATTTCTTTCACAGAGCTGTGTCTCTTCTGTATGAGGTTGTACAAGTGTAGGACTGAGGACATATTACTCTTCTATCATTTCCAAAAATAAATAATAATAATAAAACCCATTCAACTTACTGTTTTTCAGATTATTGATTATTACTCTGATAGTAAAGATTCTGACTTCCCTGCAAGAATTACCTGTCAAAGGATAGAAAATGTTGGATTTTTAGTAGATTGGTTTGCCTTAGCTGGAGATAATTTGACAAATTCAAAAATCACAGGACAGGCAGGTAAGCAGGCAAGCATCATCCTTGCTTGCAGGAGTCCAAATATTTCAAGACATATGCAAGATCTCAAAAGACTTTATAAGTCTTTTGTATACAGGGTACAGGGTTTTTACTAAATGCTCATATCTTGTCCTCAGGGACAGATAAATTGTAGTAAACAGTCAAGGGACTCAGTTTATTCATGATATTAAAAGAAAAATAAATTAATAGCAAGTGATTTTAACATCTGTTATATGTACATCTTCTGGAAAACTTTAGGTTTAAAGCATAAGGGAGGATTAAAAGAGGGACAATAAATAGAAGAAGCTGTGATCTCACTGATTAGTACATTAAGAATGTACTCTTTTCCTCTTTTGTGAGGAAACAGATTCAAGCATTGTAAACATTATCATAAACTTATGTTGGATATCATGATACAAGTTTATAAGAAAAAGAATTACATTTTGGGGTAAGAATTTCCATGAATAAACTGCATTTTATTTATTTATTTATTTGGTATAGATTTAAAAAAAATTTAGAACTTCTTCAAGCATTTTTTTTTAAATTTCTCCTTCCAGAATTTAATC